GGCCCGGCCCCCAGACCCTGCCCTGCCCACCTCCTCGGCCCGCTGTGCCTCCATGTGCTTGTCCAGGTACGTCCCTTCCAGCACCGAGCCCACGATGGTCAGGCCCTTGCCGGCCTTCAGCTGCGACGTGAAGGACAGCAGGCGGGGGTGCTTCACAGCCTGCTCTGCGTCCAGGTTCAGCATCACCAGCACCTGGGGCCTGCAGCGGGGGTGGGGCGGCTGTTACCACGGCAACACTCACCCGCACACCCGCACACAGCCCATCAACAGGGCAGGCGGGACGGCTGGGGCACGTGACACAGGTGGGACGGGGGACATATGACAGGCGGGACAGGTGACAAAAGGGGCAGGTGACACAGATGGGATGGGGAGACACATGACACAGGTGGGGGTAAGTTGAACAAGTGACAGGTGAGACAGGCCACACAAGCCAGGTGGGACAGGCAGGGCCGATGGACAGGTGGGCACTAGCCAGGCAGGACAGGTGAACAGGCAGGTGAGACAGGTGGGACAGGTGACATGCTGGACAGGTGAGACAATGGCCCAGGACACATGCCGGATGCCCCTGCCAAGACCCTGAGGGGGACACTGGCCCAGGGCACAGGCCTGAGGCCCCCGCTGAGACCCTGAGGGGCAGAGGCTTCCTACAGATGGCCTTTGCTTCAGCAGGAGCCACCCTCTCCCACCCCAGCCCAGGGCTGTGCCGGCAGAGGGGCCGGCTCCCCACACCCCCGCCCTGCAGCAGGGACACCCCCGGTGCTCCAAGGCCCCCAGCTGTGCAATTCGCTCTGCACCAGGCAGTGTTCACACCCCAGACCGTGCCCAAGCGGCTGAAGGTAAGAGGCCCCTGAGACTCCAAGGTCCCCACTCAAAGGCCAACCTCAGAAACGGCTCTTCCGTGCATGTGAGGAACACGGGGCATGGGCAGCGCTCACCTCCAGTTCTTGGTGTGAGGAGGCCCGTGCTCCACACGCAGCAGGGCATAGCGGGCAGCGTTCAGGGACAGGCCGCGGATGCCGTCGCCCCACTCCTTCTCGGCACTGCGGGAAAGGAAGTGGGGGGCTTGTTCAGCCCATCTGGGAAAGAGGGGACTTCTGGGGGCAGGTGAGTCAGGGCAAACAGGACCCCCGGAAAAAGTCCCTGGATAAGGAGGGAGGCCTCCGTGCCCACCCCTGCCCTCAAGGGAGCCCGTCCCAGGAGCCACGGGGTCAGAGGGTGCCGTGGCTATGGAGGAAATGAGGTCTACGTCCAGCATGCGTGAGGCGCCTTCCTCGCAGGGTGGGGAGCAGAAGGCCTGTGACAGGGAAGTGGCTGGACCCCGGGAAGGAGGCGGGTGCAAGGGGAGGGAGGGTGGGCGCTGGGGCACGGGGAAGGACATCCGTGGCTGCCGAGTGAATACAGGCACAACCTGGGGACACCTCGCGAGACATGTAGCAGGAATAGTCAGCCATGGGCTCACTGCCTGCTGAGGACGGCACGAGACAAGAGCTCCAGGCTGGAGACACTGTCCACGAGTACAGGCACCTTGGCCTGGCTGGGGGCGGGAGGGAAACCCTGGCTTTCACAGCACAGCCCACCTGCATGTGCTCCCAGCTGCTCCCAGGACGGCACACAACATTCGGGCCCCAGGGAGGCCCCTCTAGGGAGCTGCCCTGGGCATAGTGTGAGAGGGGCCCGCAATCCTGTGCGCCGGGTCCGTGAGGGGGACTAACGGCGCTTACCCTCGGTACTCGATGTACTTGTAGATGCAGCCAGCGATGAGCATGGCGGAGAGCGCATAGTACCAGGAGCAGATGAACATCAGTGCCAGGCACAGGCTCATGCCCAGGAAGGACAGGGTCCTGGGGGCGGGACAAGTGGCTCAGGGGTGGCCCAACGCCACACGGACACTGCCCCTCCCTCAGTGAAACTCTCTGTTAACACCAGGAAAACAGTCACTGATGCCTGACGACCATGCCTGCACTCAATCACCTCTGAGGGGTGACGTGGCTCCCTGGGCCCCTGTGGGAGCCGCTACTCCAAGACCCAGTACACAGCTCCAGCTCCCAGCGTGCACACAGCACCTCGGCTGTGCACGCAACACCATGGCTGCAGCATCCACCCAGTGCCTGATTCCCGAGGAGGGGAGTTAAGAAGACCCACAGCCCTGATGGAATACGCCCCAAGTCTGGGAGTGCCGGCTGACCACGGGAGGTACAAGGCGGCACACAGACACCTGGGCATCCTCGTAACTAGAGGCCTTCCTCAGGTGCAGAGGCAAAGAGAGGCCACAGTCTCATCAGCTGCCCAGGGGCTTACTCCGCAAAGGAACAGTCGAGGACCCGCCTGGGGTCTTCAGGCCCAGGGCAGCTGGCCTTGCAGAGACACCCGGTGTCCCAGCCTGCAGGGCCCCTGACGCCCATGCTGAGCGGCCTCCCCAGTGGCAGAGGCACCCAGTGTCCCAGTCTGCAGGGCTCCTGACGCCCGTGCTGAGCGGCCTCACCAGTGGTAGAACTTGAAGCGTGGACGCCAGTTGGGGGTACGTAGCAGGGTCTGCACGGCGCAGGCTAGGTTCACGAACAGGTAGCACATGAGGAAGAACCTGCAGGGACAACCAGACACTGACACGCGCCGACTGGGCCCCTCCACGCCCCCAGTCACTGCAACCTGGGAGACCACCCTTGTCATCACTGTCCCTCCCACCTGCGTCTTGTCTCCCCGTGTCTCTGTACATAAGTTGACTCAGACTGACTCCGAATCAGGCCCCCTCAGGCCCCAGTCATCCTGTGGCCGCCTGGTCCATCAAGAGATGGGCCATTGTCCCTTCCCCAGCAGCCATTTGTTCAGCCACACTGTCCCCGGCAGACCCTGGCCGGCGCCTGCCTGGAGGCCTGTGCACCTGCCTTCCCCGGCCCAACTCCCTTCCCGGCAGGATTCTGACTGCCCACGGCTGGCCCTGCCTGTTTACTGATTGTCCTGAGCAGGGCCTCCCGTCCACACTGCCCCATGCTCCAGGCCCATACACCCAACCGCAGGTCCCCGTCCTGCGGGGGCTCACATGGAGAGGATCGGGGCCACGCTGTCCAGGGAGGCAATAAGGATGCCAGTCTCACAGATGAGGACCGTCAGCAACAACGCCCACGTGGGCTCCCCATTGGCCTTCCCGTGGCCAAACACCTGCAGGGACAAGGGCAGGAACATGGGGCAGATGACACCACCCTTTTAGGAGAGAAGCTGCAGTCTGGTCAGGTCCAGCCCAGATGAGTCTTAAAGGCAAAGACCAGCAGACACCGCCTTTCACAGTAGGTCCCCGGGACGTCACCCGGCTGGCCTGGGAAGAGGCCCTGACAAAGGGCTGCAGCCCAGGAGGCTTCAGAGCTGTGTCTACACCGGGCTTGCCTGCAACCTGTGTGGCCTCAGCCCACCCACCACCTGCCTCAGTTTCCCCGACCACACAACACAGGACCAGCGTCTCCAGGGCACTCACGGTTCCCCAGACCCTGTAGTGACCTTTCTCACCCTCAGGCCGCCCTCACCTCCCAGAAGCTGAGGCCCACGGGGTCTGTGTGTCCGTCCCCTTCCCAGACACCAGGCCCTAGGCCCGGCTGGGACTGACAAGATGCAACCACACAAAGGCCCTGTGGGTCGGCACCCTGCTGAGGGACCGGCGATGGGCGAGGACGGCTCTGCCATCCACAACCTTCCCACAGCTCCCCTGGGCCTGAGTGGCAGGAGGAGCCACAATTGGCAGCTCTGGGCACAGCACACGGATAGGACCCAATGCGGGCGTCTGTGCCATCCTCAGAACAGCCACACACTCTGGCTGCAGGCTGGTGACGCCACCTCCCACGGGCTGAAGAGCTCAGCCACACAGAGAAAGGAGTGGCAGGCAGGCAGGGGGCTTCTGGCCAGACAGCAGACCAGGCACGTCTGGACCCGAGGCCGTGGGCCCTCACAGCCGCTCCTGACACACCCGGGGCTGCGCTCGGAGGGACCTGCAGGCAGGAGGGCTGGAGCTGCCTCTGCCCACCACTCACCACCCACCACTCCCATGCTCAGAGCAACGGCCGGGGCAGAATGACCACCACGGGGTCCAAGCTGCAGGCATGTGCCCCACACACGGCACTGTGAGGATCCCGCCGGGGAACAGAGCCCGACCCTGACCTTCCAGGGCCCCCTCCCCGAGGACGCAGGGCTCACCCGCAGGAAGGGGATGATGCCATCACGGGCAATGGCCTGCAGCAGGCGCGGTGCCCCCGTGAGGCTCTGCAGGCCGGCGCCGCAGGTGGAGAAGAAGGAGCCGATGACGATGACCCAGGGGGAGGGCCAGGCCAGCATGCCGATGACCAGGTTCCCCTGCAGGGCCTCCCCGAACCTGCAGGCAGGCGGTTTTCAGAAATGTGCCTAAATCAGACAAAACGTCTTCTCCCACCGAGGGGCCCGGTGTGGTGGGAGCGGCTCCTGGGAAAGCTGAGGCCTGGCCTCCAGTCCCCGTTGGCTGAAACCTCCACCAGGCTCTGCCCGGCATGGCCGGAATGCTCTGCAGGGTCTTCAGCGGGGGAGCGGGTCCTGCTCACCTCACGGTCGCTCTTGGGAGCAGGGAAGACCCAGCCTGGCGTCAGCTTCAGTCAGGGACCACCCAGGATCCCCGGGGCCTTGGGGCTGCCAGACAGGCACGTCCCATGAGGATGCAGGTCAGCGACGACCTGCCTGGGACCCCACTACTTCTCTACTTGGCAGCAGGGCTGGGGGGCCTCCCAGAGCCAAGCCTCACCCGTCCACACCCCTGTGGCCTCCCCAGGAAGGGCCTGTGCCCCCAGCTGCATCAGGGCTTGGAGGCGGCTCTGAACGGTTCCCCAGGCTGTAGGCTCCAGTGGAAGAGACACACATCAGACCAAGGGGATCCCAACCCTGGGACCGGGATGGCTTCAGCTCTGCACACGGACATGAAGTCCGAGGGCGATGTCATTTCAAAGTCAAACTCGTCCTCAGGAAAACCCATGAAGACGACAGGCTTTGCACGGAAACTGTAGATGGAAACGTACTTATCTCGCAAGATCACACCTTCGATGCAGGCCCCAAACAGCACAATGCAGGAGAGATCTACAGCTCTCGTCAAGGAAAGGCGGGTCTGCGGGTGCAGTGTCCTCAGGTACGGGGGGTGGGGTAGGAGGGTGTCCTCAGGTACGGGGGGTGGGGTAGGAGGGGGGACGCGCCGGCCCCAGGCTCCAGTTGGGCAGGGACCATTCTGCACCCCATCCCATCCCGGGCACGTCCTGTCCCCCGTGTCCTCGGCGCACCCTCCCGGGGCTCTGTCCAGCATCACAGAACAGGGCCCTGGGGTGGTGGAGACACACCTGGCCTGGTGCTTGACCGCCAGGGATCGGCAGGGGACCTCACTGAGGGGACGATGCTCGGCTGGAAAGAGGCAGCCTTGGGATTGAGAAGTCAGAGACCCCACGGGCCCAGCCTGCCGGTGGCACACACCACACACAGCTGTGCGTCACTGTCCACAGGCAGCAGGGTGACTGCTTCTGTTTTATCCACGATCGCATCACACAGTGGCGAAGAAGCCGGGGTCCTGACAGCAGCCCCAGCCCCGTCTCCCAGGCAGGATGACGTGGTCAGAGCCCGGCCTCACCCGGGAAGTCACACGCCAGTGGCCGAGGGCGCAGCGCTGAGCCGGGGAGGGCATGGGGGCCTCCCCCCAGGCAGAGGCTGGAACCCGCACCTCCCTCGCCTGCACCCCTCCAAGGATACAGATGAAAGACGTGGTCACTATGGCCAGGATGGTCCCCGTGGGGATGGACTTCTGCGCATCCTTGAGGTCCCCGGACCGGTTTGAACCCGCCATGATACCTACGAACATGGAAAATGCTGCCAAGACCCATCTGAGGAGTCAGTGCCATGTGATGGCGGCCCCTGCCCAGAGAGCCGGAAAGGTGGTCTCTGGGGAGACCCCGAGGGTGAGCTGCTCCCGAGGCTGCAGTCCAAGCTCCACCGGCCCACGCTGCAGGACCACGGCTGGGGGGACGCAGGCCCAGGCACGTTTACCTCTCCCCTGGACCCGAGGACAAGGCCTGACCTCAACACGGACCCCCACACCCCCCACACCCAGGGCTCCTCTGGAGCCTGCGTTAATCCCACGACCAAGGGCCAGCCCAGGGACGCTGCTGAGCAATGGCTCACAGGCCCCCCAGGACCTAAGGACTTTCGGAATGAGACCCTAGAACGACTCAGAGCCCAGCCAGCCGGGCGGGCAGATGCTGTGACCCCTCCTGCTGCAGTGCCACGTGGGCACCACCTTCCTCTAGGGAGCCACGGCCGCGGGCATTTCCACACAATCGGCTCCCACAGAGCTCCGGGAAGCTGGGTCGGTGGCGGCCACTTGACGCCTGGCTCAGTCCCATCCAAGGCACAGCCTGAAGCGCCCGTGCTCGGGGTGGCCTGGAAGGCGGCAGAGCGCACAATCCGGTGTGGTAGAGCACAGAGACACCCGGAGCCACGCGGAGGCTCTGCCCTACGCCCTCCACACAGAGGCTCTGCCCCACGCCCTCCACACAGAGGCTCTGCCCCACGCCCTCCACCCACGGCGCTGGGAGCAGACGGACGGGGTAGGCTGGAGCGGAAGCACACGGAGAGGACCCCGGGCTGATCGCCCCCTCCACGGTGAGACGGGCCCACCTTCAGGGGCGGCGAGGTAAACACGAGACGCCAGCGCTGGGCTGGGCCCTGTGGCTGACCCTGGGCTCCAGGGCTTTGAGATGCGCTGAGATAAAGTCCAGGAGCAGACGTGGGAGGGACCGGAAGGGCAGCCCAGGCCACACAAGCAGCCAGCGCCAGTCAGGGGCATCCCGACAGGAAGGCCGAGTGGAGACAGCCGGGGGCGTGTGCGTGTGACGGGGAGAGCGTGGGGCCCGGGCCCACCCCTTGGGGAACAACAAGGGCCCCACCCCCGGTCGGAACAAGGCCCACTGTCTGAGGAGGACACAGAGGGCCGAGGTCCCCGAGGTCCCCGGACTCTGAGCTCACACGAGGCCACTCCTAGGCGTCTGCTAAACTCTCAGCAACCCTACAACAGCCTCTCCTGACACAGGCCTGCCCGGGAGAGCGGCAGACAGGCGTCTTACGAATCCATCAGGACACAGAGCGGAGACCTCAGCCGCTTCCCCTGAACCAAACAGGCAAGATAAGCAGGGACAGGAAGAAACACACTAGAGAGAGAGACAGAGACACAGAGAGAGAGACAGAGAGAGAGAGAAAGAGAGAGACAGAGAGAGATGGGGGAGGGAGAGGGAGACACAGAGAGAGACACAGAGAGAGAGAGAGAGAGAGAGAAGAAAGAGAGAGAGAGAGAGAGAGAAAGAGAGAGAGGGGGGAGGGAGAGGGAGACACAGAGAGAGACACAGAGAGAGAGAGAGAGAAAGAGAGAGACAGAGAGAGATGGGGGAGGGAGAGGGAGACACAGAGAGAGACACAGAGACAGAGAGAGAGGGAGGGAGGGACAGAGAGACACAGAGAGAGGCAGACAGAGAGAGAGAGGGAAAGGGGGAGGAGGAGAGAGAGAGAGAGAGAGAGAGACAGGAGGGCAGAATGACAGAGACAGAGAGATGGACAGAGAGACAGAAGAAGGGAAAGATGGAGAGAGGCCGGGTGCGGTGACTCAAGATGCCTGTAATCCCAGCACTTTGGGAGGAGTAGGATGGCTTGAGCTCAGGAGTTTGAGACCAGCCTGAGCAATGTGGGGAGACCCCCCTCTACAAAAAATACAGACATTAGCCGGGTGTGGTGCCGTGTGCCTAGGGTCCTGGCTGCTTGGGAGACTCAGGTGGGAGGAATGTTTGTGTCTAGGAGGTCAAGGCTGCAGAGAGCCATGGTCACGACACTGCCCTCCAGCCTGGGTGACAGCGAAAAAGAGAGGGAGAGAAAGAAAGAGGAGACGGCTGGAGCGGCGGGCTCACCGGTCACGGAGGGGAAGTAGATGCCAACCAGGAGGGTAAAGGAGGCCGCGATGTCGGTGAGCACGTAGGGCAGCGTGCTGGCGCGGCTCTCCTCTGCCACAGGCACTGAGGGCACACCTTTCTTCTCCACAAACGCCCCTGCGTGCGTGTACGTACTCCACAGGTTCTCTGCCGGACAAGGAAGATCCCATGGGTTTCTGGCACCTTCCGTCCAGCGCCCACACCACGGGGCAGGCCACTCCCTGGCAGGTCCCACTGGTGGCTGGAGGGGAAGGGTCACAGCTTGTGCGCTGCAAGCAGGCTCCAATTCAAACAAGTTTTTTGAGACGGTACCTCTGGGAAAGCTACCTGTCTGCGTCTATGGAAGGAAGGTCAGCACTAAAGAGAAGCCTCAGTGCAGAACAACATACTCCTGGGAAGCCCAGGCCTCCCATCTCGGGTTCTGGAGCAGGTCTCGTGTACCCTGCCAGGGGTCCTTTCCCTCAAGCCCCTGGGGCGGGTCCAGGGCAGCCTCTCCTCAGGGAAGGACACACAGAGGGGGTGTCACCGCCCAGCCACCGCTCCCTCACTAACACAGCAAGTTCCCCACACACACTGCCAGGTGGTCGTGGACATAAATCCATGGCTTTAAGACCAGCTTGCTGACCACGACAGAGGCCGTCTCCCTGCCACACTATGTTTGGCTTCTGTGGCTCTGCCAGGGGTGTGCACAGGGACCCCCAGGCTCGTCAGCAGCAGCTGGGGAGGGGCTCGGCCAGGCAGGAGGAACTGGGGCCCTGAGAGTGACCCTACGGTGACAGCGTCCACCGGGGCCAGCGCCGGCCGCCGCCACCCCCAGCCCCTGCTGCAGCCCTGCGGGCCTCACCCAGGAAGACGCCGCTGGCCGCGCCCGGGATGCCCTGGATTTCGGTGACGTTGTTCTGGATGAAGTACTCGTCACACGTGGCGCTGGGCTGGGAGCCGTTGCAGAAGAGGCCCCAGAGTGCAGAGGCGGCTGAGTTGTTGTCGGTGACGTAGGCCTTGACGCAGGCATCAAAGCTGCGCCGAGACAGCGTGCGGTTCCCCAGGAGGCAGACCCTAGGGCGGGACAGGGAGGCACGGCCGTGTGCTGCTGCCGAAGTGGCTTTTACTGCCCCACCCGGCTCCTCCAATGGGCACCCGTGGTGTCACCCGTGAGTGGCTCCTGGCACCCTGCACCTCCCAAGACAGGAAGGCCACAGATCACGCCGGGAACTGGGCCCGAGCCAGGCTGCAGCAGGAACGCAAGGGTCACGGATCATGCCGGGGACCAGGGACCCGGGACCGGGCCAGGCTGCAACAGTAATGCTGTACCGTACAGCCGTCCCCTCATCCATGGTTCGGCCACCCATGGTCCAAACATGCTTAACTGAAGTGTTCTAGACATAAACAATTCACACGTTTTCCACTGCGCAGTGGAAACCAGTGAGGTGGAACCCCGCGAACCCCCCGTGCCGACACAGCCACGCTGCAGTCGCTCCTGCCTGAGGCCCTCGGCGGTGTCCTGGCCGGGTCGGCTGTCACAATCTCAGTGCCTGAGTCCAAGCCACCCTCCTGCCACGTCCCAACGGCCAAGAGCACAGGAGTGCCGCCTCTGGTGTGTAAACCAGGCCTGTGTGTAGAAAACAGTCTACACGGGGCCACGGCTTCAGGCATCAGCAAGGGGTCTCAGGACGGGCGCCCCAGGGAAGGGCAGAGCTGTGTTTCCCTAAAACAGGCTCGCAGGGTTGCGGCTGCTCTGCCTCCCTCTGTTTTGAGGCCTCTATGAGGCTATTCCTTCAGGGGCTCCCTTCACACGGAGACGGCAAAAACTTGGGAACCTGGAGGGGCTTGGCTGCTGGCCTTTTCTGGACCCGCTCCTGAGGGCTCTGGCGGCCACTCCCGTGTTCCAGGACGTGGGCCGCCTCCCAGCTTCTCCTCCAAGAGGACAAGAAAAGGGACTACTCCAAGCACCTCTGGGAGGGAGAAGGAGCCGCGACCCTCGGTGCCACCTGACCGTGCTCAGGCCGCCGGCCACTCCTGAAACCCGCCACTGAGGAGGGTCTTCACGCTCAGACCCGGCCACGAGGATGCCTCGGCCCGCCTCACGGCTGGGTTTCCCATAATCCTCAGAACGAGCCCACAGGGGTTCCCGCCGTGGTCACACCCAGTCCCGCCCCTCGCGGGGAGCTCAGTGTCAAGGATGACGGACCAGAGGCGGGCAGAGCCCACGGGACCTGGCCCCAGCCCCACACACCACCCACGGCTCAGAGGCCCCGAGACTCACGGGATGTCCGGGGGGTCGAAGGCAGACTTGATGACGCCGGCGTAGATGGCCAGGATGGACAGCACGACGCAGGCCAGGAAGACCAGCGCCAGCTTGTTGACGTACTTGACGCCCACGAAGACCACCAGGGCCATGAGCACCAGCGTGCACGTGCCATACACACGCATGTTGTGCAGCATGGCGGTCGCCTCGCCACCCGCAGCCTCTGCCTGGAAGATGGCCGCACCCGGGGAGATGTATGTCTGCAGGGACAAGACGGGTTGGGAGGCCGTCCCCGGACAGAACTCCCCAGCGCCCCTCCCTCCTGCAAGCGCCACACAGGGGCCTCCTCCCAACAGGCGCTGGGGCCATCGGGAGGCATCCGTGCTGGACGGAGCCCGCGGGGGTCAGCGCACGGGCAGTGGACGGCCAGGGGCTTGCACGTTTCCCAGGAGCCACCCGGACACCTGAGAGTAAAGCAACTTCAGGACCCGGGGCGGCCACACGTCCACACTCAAAAGAAACACCTGCTAAGAGGAACGTGACAGCCCAGAGAGCTCGGCCCATCCCGGCTGGACGTCCTGGACAAACACTGGGTCTGACCACGCCGGTTGGGTGCAACCTCTGCTCTGCCCAAATTCAAGGGACGGAGATGCGAGACGGTGCTGCTCAGCTCCCTCAAGACCAGGACAGGACTGGGGTACAGTAGGCATGGAGGACACGGCACTCATCCCCACCAAAAGCAATCCGGGGAGTGCGGCAGCCATGGTGTCTTTGCAGCCATGGCACCCAGGGCAGGAAAGACTGAGGGGCATGGCCAGGGGACTCAGGGTGGGACAGAGGTGGATGCGACCCCACTGAAAGGCTTCAGAAACTTCTCGGCCATGTGGCTCTCTGCAGGAGCCCAGGAGGCCGGGAACCAGGTCTGGCAGCGGAGGGAGGGGCAGAAAGACTGGGAACGGGGGCTCAGGTGGGCGTCTCTGAAGCCCTGTGGGGACGGTGGGTTTCAGAAGCTCACAGGAAGGGTGGTGCTCAGCAGCCAGAGAGGGCGGTTCCTGTCCCCACGGGGACCAAGGAACTCAGGCCACAGCTCTTAGCTGTGCTCAGGTGATGTGGGGCGTGCTTTGAGCCTGTTTTGGGAAGGTGATGACATCACCTGGCCGTGCACTGCTGGGCTCCGTAACCCTTGGCCAAGTGCCCAAATCAATCAGGCAGGGAAGGGGCTAGGATCCTGGCAAGAGGTTCTTCTAAGCCGAGTTTCAACCCTGCCCGTAAAACAGCTCAGATTGCAGGGCCACACCCACGCGGGGCTCAGATCTACAGCCCAGACGTCTACCCAGCCCATGCCAGGCACCCCTCGCGGAGGGCGGCAATGGTGCTCACGGGGGACCCAGGTCGCTGCAGAGTGGACGCTGCCGACGGCTTCCGCCAGGGAGAGCCCAGGGGCAGTCAGGGCAGTGGGGTCGGGATGGCTCCGTGGGCTGTGTGTGCCACAGAGCGGGTCAGGCAGACTGCGTCCTGCCGCAGACTGTGGGGTGGGGAACGCTCCAAAGCAGCACGCTCACCAGAAGGATCTCGATGGTCCCCAGAATATACATGGCCCCTGCGAACGTCGTGCCCAGGTAGAAGCAGAGGCCGACAGCGCCTCCGAACTCGGGTCCCAGCGAGCGCGATATCATGTAGTAGGAGCCGCCAGCTGTGGAGACACAGGTGGCGGCCGCGGGTCAGGGGCGCGCTTGGACGCAGACTTGAGGTGCGGTCTGCGCTGTCGCTCATGAGTGAAGGGGGGCCTGTCTCTGCGAAGGCAGCGTGTTCGCCCACCGCAAAGCAGCACATGAAGACGTCCGGCTGCCACGGTAAACGCTCCCCTCCCGAGGCTCGGCACACATTCCACACCGACCGTGCCCTCGTGGACATGAGCACCAGGTGAGGTCGGGGCAGGAGGCCCCAGCAGGTCCAGGAAAAAGGCCTTCGTACATCAAAGGCAGCCCCAGCCCCCACTTCCACTACGTTTTGCTTATAAAAAAGGCAAAAGAGAAACCAGGATGTTCAGGAGTTCTCTGGTAGACTGTGAACCACGCATGCGATGGCTGACAGGAAAGCTGGGAGCGACCCCAGGGTTGCCTGGAGAACGCGGCTCTCCCTGCCCTGAGCAGTGCGTGTGGCATGAGGAAGGGGCCCTAACGGATGCAGTCATCGAGAAGCAGAGACTGGTCCCCTGGCTGCTGAGGGAGACCCCCGGTGAGGGCCCTCGTGCTCTCCTGCGGCCGGGGAAGTCCACTGAGCACCACGCAATGCCCCCGTGGGGGTGGGGGCCAGCTGCGTGAGGACCTGGTGCTGAGCAAGCCCGGCCGTTAACACACGCAGGACACATGCACTAGGGAGCAGACGTGGCATCATCTCAGTTCACTAGTTATTTCGTGTTGCAATTTATTACTAATTAACAATATCATCTCGGTTCACCAGTTATTACGTCTTGCAATTAATTTATTACTAATTAATATCATCTCAGTTCACTAGCTATTTACGTAATTAATTACTAACAGTATCATCTCAGCTCACTAGTTATTACGTACTGTAATTTAATGCTAATTATCATCTCAGTTCACTAGTTATTACGTATTGTAATTAATTTATTGCTAATGAAGATCATCTCAGTTCACTAGTTGTTACGTATTGTAATTAATTTAT